CCTAATTTTTTTTTTGTTTGTATATTTATTTTAAGCGCTGAATCTGTACAATGCACGTTTAGTACCTTAGGTTCTATATAAATATATATTGTGTGTATTTAAATAAATACGAGTTAAACGTAAACAAGAGATCTATAGTAAGATATAATGTATAATGCATACCTTCATAAGCTGTAAACTTAATGGCTATCACAAGCTGAAAACATCTTATCTTAATAGAAGTGAAATTCGTAGAACTAGTGAGTATGCATAAAAAAAATTTTTTTTTTGTTTTTTGCTTTTTTGTTACCCTCTTAGCTATTATTTAAGTTCAACTTGTTAATGCTGTACATTTATCCTTGCAGGCAGCCGGGACGAGTGGCTTTTACAGTGCCGCAGCACCGGGTCCAGCCATTGAAGTAGGGATTCGCTGCTGGACAATCAATAATGCGACCCACCCATGTATTTATATAGAAACGACAGTAGATGTAGCTAAAGTAAAGCAAAGAGAAAGAACATATATATACACAGGTAAGCATATATATTTATGGAAAGTAAGCTCACCTGGTGCACACGGTGTCATTGGGAATGGCATGGATGGGAATACCCTTGAAGGAAGCACGGCAAAAGGCGTCTGGGGACAGGGCGGTGCTCTCTGTTGTGGTGCTAACTGTGCTGATTGGCTCTGTGGTTGTCGCCTGCTCAGCGCATGTGGCACTTGTCACTGCTACATTGCCGCATATCTGCGGCAGATAGATGTTGCACACCAGATCGCCAGTGCAGCTGGACGTCAGGTTCGAGGGCCGACGACCGCCCAGGCACAGGGCAAAGGTGCGTGGCCCAGTGCAGGCAAAGACGCCTTGTTCATTGCACTCGCCACAGCTGCCACAGGCTCTAAGTGCTGGGCTCTGGTTGCAAATCGTCGACTGGCTGGTGCAGTAGCTGCCCGCCGGGCAGGAGTTGATGGGTCCAATTGGCTGATTGTTTGCACAGAACTGAAACTGGCTTTCCGAGATGCAAGCCACATTGCTGACCGAGTCGCAGACGTAGCAAGCAGCCCAAGCGTCTCGGCTGCACAGCGAAATCCCAAGGAAGACGACGAAGAGCAGACGCCGCATCTCGAATTGCAACTGCAATGTAAGCTAAAATGCAGCAGCTCTTAAAAGTCAGAAGGCGATTGCATTCTGGCGTAATCTGATTGGGGGAATAAATATCAGTGTAAAGTCTAGTTGATCTTTATGGCCTGCTGATAAGCAGTGCTGCCAGTTTAGCCAATTTCAGGCTAGATCTAGGCTATTGGTATTAAACTCATTGAAAAAGAGCAAGGGTGTGAATGAATTGAGGCAGACTATTAGAAGTCTTAGTACTTAAGAGAACTATTGAACTATATACAGAAGTAAATGCTGTCTATGCCATCTAATAATTATAAATATTAATGTACATAAATTAGCAATAACATATGTATTCTTGAGCAGTGTAAACCGACTTAACTATGCCTGTTTTTTTGTCTCTATATCTGATGGTATATTTGTCTGTAGAGAGCGAGAGAGTGAGAGAGAGGGTGAGAGAGAGAGTGAGAGAGAGAGAGAGAGAGAGAGTGAGAGAGAGAGAGAGAGGGAGAGAGAGCCAGAAAGAGTGAAAGAGAGAGACAGAGAGAGTGACTGAGAGACTGAGAGAGAGAGAGAGATAGTGAGAAAGTGATAGAGAGAGAGAAAACGAGAGTGTAAGAGTGATAGAGAGAGAGAAAGGGAGAGAGAGAGATATCTGCCTGTCTACATTCTACCACACAGTCAGTTTCTCAGTCTGTCCACATATAAAAATCAAGAGACGAAGAATAACTACAGAAGATCACTTAAGTTGTTTATATGTATGCAGTGCAGCAGTTTTCATTCGGGTAAAGCGAAGCCACAATGCTGTAGAGAGTGTTCCCATTGGTCACTTCGAGTTCGACCGGCACGACCTCTACCTGCCGTCGGGCTCAACATTTGAGCGCGACTAAGTGTGTGAGTGAATGCCTCCCTATATATAAAGGGCCGCAGCTACAGCATTTCTTCAGTTGCCCAGGCCTGGTGGGAGTCAGTCGTGCAGTACAGTAAAGTGAAGTGAAGAGAAGAGAATTGGGTGTAAATTTAATGATCGTTTAGCTAAGTATAATTTTTGGAGGAAATACTCAGAAGAAATATTTAAAGGCAACTATTAGAGGAAATAGAGATGAGGAGACAAAATATAGGCCGAACATCCACTATTACGTGATCCGCGTTTTTTGATCAGGTGCTGATTCTTCTAATATTATAATTATCACTGTAATCGTCATTATAATCATACAATATTTTATATATATCACTATCATTATTAATTATTATTAATGTTGTTATTGTTATAATCATTAGTAGTTTAATTATGTTTTTTAGTGCTTTTATAATTATAATTTATGCATTCATAGAATCTTAAACTCTAGCTGTACAATTAACTGGCGCTACGTAAACGCAGCGCTGTGTAGGCGCATCGAAATAGGCATTCGCAGAGCACTCATATTCCACGCCTCTTATTTGGCCTGCCTTGTTGAAGTAGCAGCTGATGTAGCTGCAAAGATAAGGTAAGATTAGCGGGAAAACATTTGGCACTTGGCTGTCTAAGATTACGCACCGTCTACAGTAGATGTCACGTGGCTGGGTCTCGTAGAGTCCTGTATATGCCTTCAGCTGGCAGAGCTGCTGCGCCGTCATGGAGTTGGGTGTCGGAGAGGGGCTAGGCGTTGAGGTAGGCGTGGGACTCGGCGTGGGGCTAGCTGTGGTGACAGTTGTCGTCGGCGTGGTTGTGCTGGTGCTCACCAGATCATCGTGCAGGTCACAGGTGAAAGTCTGACCCACCCGCTCGGGCGTACAGACCACATCGCTGCTGGCATCGCAGGCGTAGCCCGGCGGGCAGAAGCCCAGCGCTCCCGTCGGCCGCGTCGCTCCATAGCACATCTGAAACGTCCCTCGGCTCTGGCAGGCAAACTTGTGATTGCGATGCGCACTACACTGTCCACATTTGCTGGTATCACCGCAGCTGGGCGGCCACTGTGCGTTCTTCTGCACACAGATTGCAGTGCGGGCGGTGCAAACGGTGCCCTCCAGACAGTTGTAGATGCGATCCGTATGCGGCATGCCATCTAGATGGTAAGACATGTCGCGATCAAAGCCGTAATCAACATTCGAGAGTCTTATAAATACCTCCGAAGCACAGGTAGAATGAGGTGGAGTTAATGCAGGCAGCCTGATTCGTCTGGCAAACATTGCAATCCGTTACCACATGACCCACCAGACAGACAAAGCAGAGCTTGAATAGAAAAAAAAAATATATATATATATCTAAATGAAATATACTTGGTATATATTTATGTATTTTCTGCCTTACCGCCAAGACAATTTGTAGATCCTTGGCCATGGTTTCACCTTGTACTCCGGCGTTGTGTTCACTGTCAAGGTTTTGCCTCTACTAAAGAACATTATTCTCTTGTTCGCTGCATTATAAACGTTGTCTTAGTGAAATTTTCAGTGTTTATCTACTACTCTTCATATGCGTATATATAGATATCATTTTGGACATGCTAATTGTTTTATTTGCTTTGGCTTTCCACTTGATTGCCTGTCGCTGTTTTATGATCCCAGCATAAGAGCCGAAAGAAGAAGAAGAAGACGAAAAAACCTAACACTGCGATAATGAGCTGAATAGCACTCATCATCATAATGATACACCTGAGCTGCAGCCAGGCCATTGACCAAATCTTCAGAGTCAGCTTAGAAGAGTTTCGCTTGAGGTAAACAGAGCTGCGGAAGTTAGAGGAAAACTAGGAAATTTCAAAGTAAATTCCAAGAATACGATTAAGTAATGTAAGAGCTATATCATTAAAGGCTTAGCTATAAGTTAAAAAAAAACAATGACTATCATACACCCTAGGATGTCGACAACTGATAGCAAATGTGCTAGAGTAGTCGACTAGCAGCTGCCCTGGAATTGATATTGATCACGGTTTTATCTACAATTTTATTTTGATAGACATTTTTAGATCTGCATTATCTCTTTAGTTAGTTTATAATATATTTGTTTTTAATTATACCCTGAACCCATTGAAAATGGGAAATCAGGGTATAATGGTTTTGTTGAAATGTATGTAACAGGCAGAAGGAGGCGTGGCAGACCCCACAAATTATATATATTCTTGATCAGGGTGACGAGCTGAGTTGATTTGGCCCTGTCCGTCTGTCTGTCTGTCCGTCTGTCCGTCTGTCCGTCTGTCCGTNAAATGTCCGTAATTACAGCGCGCATATCAAGTTTATCATTAAAAATCGATAACTCATCCCGATCTTTTTTTATCGATAAAAAACCTTATCGAAAACCAGTTATAAAATTATATCTTCTACACCTTTATTGCTAGAGTCTCCAAATTTTTAATGTATGCTTATATGCAATTTATACAATTTCGGTTTTTGTTAAAATTTACCCCCCACCTCTAAATTCACCCCCTCACCCTCACTTTTGTAAAACGCGTATTTCAAATACTAGAGACTTGTGCTTTGGCAATTACATGCATATTCATGTTATAATCATAATCTGAAAGTTTCATGAAGATCGTACGTTCACAAAAAAAGTTATTAAACAATTAAGTTCTCATAGTAAGCGCACACTGCAGCCCATGCGTGTTTATGCGTGGGTGCTTGTATGTGTATGTGTTTGTGTATGTGTGTGTGTTTCTTGTGTAAGCTGAAAGACGCGAAAAATTCTTGAAATAGCTAGCACTCCAAGGGTTCAGGGGATCTCGTAGTCGAGCAGTCTCGACTAGAGCTTTCTTACTTGTTTTTTCCTTGAATTTTTAGCAAGCTCTATTTATTATTTGCCTATAGCTAATGGGTATTAACCACTCTTTATTATACATTTAGTGTTATGTAAATATTGTTATATATCGATACTCAAACATATAAATTTACTATGGCAATTTCATTACAGACAACCCACGCCGCTCGGTCGTGTTGCACCACAGCCGGAGACGGCATTGAAGTACGGATTATTTGCATTGCAGTTGCGTATGGAGCCGTTCCACACATTGCCCCGGTAGAAGCAGTAGATGAAGCTGCAAGTGAATTTCAATTATGACATAGATGCATATCTTTGTAGATAGATCGAAATCTGCGCATTACCTGGTGCAAACGGTGTCGTTTGGTATGGCAAAATTGCCAATTCTTTGAATGCCCTGGCAATAGGCAGTCGGATCAAAGGTCGGCTCAGCTGTAGTTGTGGTGGTGGCGATGGTGGTTGGCGAGGTGACGTTAGATGTAGAGCCTGCGGTAGGGTCTGGGGTAGAGTCTGCGGTAGAGTCTGCGGTAGAGTCTGCGGTAGAGCCTGAGGTAGGGTCTGGGGTAGGGTCTGGACTTGAAGTGCTTGGAGTAGGTGTTGGCGTCACTATATCATCCTCAACGCGATCACAGGAGTCTTCCACGTCCGGCTCGCATACCAAATTGCAGGGATTTCCAAGCGCCGCACCTTTCACGCTGCAGTAATAATCTTTGGGGCAGATGCTTCGCTCGGGCAACAGCTTGCCGGCATGGCATGCGCCGAAGGTGGTGAGGGAGGTGCAGGCGAAAATCTGCCCAGCGTCGCATTTTCCACATTTCACGGTGTAGGGGCAGGCCGGCTCGAAGTCCCTCTGACAAATGCTGCCGTATTGCGTGCAAATTGGCGTTTCCTCCGGGCAGGTGAAGGTCAACGATGGAACGGGCTTTTCTGTGGGCGGCGCCGCATTCTGGTTAGAGATCGGCAGCAACTGTTGCCAATGGCCAGTGTCAACTTACTTTCGTAGCACACCTGGAAGGTGGTGGTGTTGATGCAGGTGTGCGAGCCATAGCAAAAGCCGCAGGTGGCATCCACGAGTGCAGGCGGTGCCAACAAGGCGGCCAGCAGAGCCAAAAGCCCAACGCGTAGAAGCTGGGACATCTTCGGTTTCTAAATGAGCTGCCCGAATGCCGCTGTCATGCCTTTTAAATGCTGAAATGCTGCAGATCAGCCTGGAGCGCTATCTTTATGACAGCGGCAGGGCCAGCGGTACGGGCGAAGGCAGCTGCCTTTTGGCTTATCTCTCAATGCTAGAGCATCCATAAATATGCTAGCTACCGTGCGGCTGCAATCTCCTGTAAACATACTAAGCCCAACATAAAACCAGAAAATTATCTCTGCCAGCCTCTTGTTTTTGCCTACAGCATTATCTGAGCGATCGTCCGATATAAATGTGTGGCGTATGTTGAAAGCTCTCATTAGTCAGCTGAACGCTCTGCCTAGATATTCACAATGCAACAGAGCTATTTGGTAAGTTGGCATCAATAGGAAAGCTAATTTCATTCCTCAACTGCTTGCCATCTCTTCCGAAGATCCTCCTCGTGGCGCTCAGCTTCCTTCTGGCTGTGGGTGATGCTGCTTACTGTGGCGGTTGCATGGAAAGCAAGGTGGCCTGCTATAACCGCACCCACTACAGGGTGTGCGTCAACAATGCGCCCATTGAGGGCGGCGGCCTCCTCTACTGCGGCTCCGGCAAGATCTGCACCGATATGATGGATTTCTGCTGGCAATCGCTCCCTAACGATGGAATTGAGCCAGTTTGTGACACGTACAAAGTGAACTGCAGAAAGTGCGATTACAACCAGATGTTCGTCTGCACCAGTCGCACCACCTTCCAGTTGTGCTCCGGCTATGAGATGAGCCCCCAGGTCAATTACTGTCCAGAGGGCACCGTCTGCTCCATCGATTCCGGCGACTTCTGCGTGAAGCCCTGCAAGCTTCCGTATGGCAGATACGAGTGTGATAGGTTAGAGCCCGTTAATTAGTTTTTGTCAATTTCCTAATGTTTTTTAAATGCGATGCAATAAATTTATATGCAAATCAAATTAATTGGCATTTGCTCTTTAAAATATACAATATTGACCAAATTGGAATATTTAAGATTAATTTGGGTACACTTATAGCTTACTAGATATTGTATATACATAATTATATATATATCGTAAATATATAATTGTATGATTAAAATTGTATATCGATTTTAATCGATTACATTATCTGATGATCATTAACAATAGGTGGATATATTGACTATGTATATTATATGGGAAACAGCAAACGAATTCTGATTACCAAAAAAAAAAAAAATAATAATAATACAAATAATATTTACTTAATATACTTCTCAGCGGTTCCAAGATATCTTGATTAATAATATTGTGATTGTCTATATATTTAAAAATATATTCCTACATATCTTTACTTATATCAAATATCAAATTTATTGAGGGTTGTGTTTAAGAAAACAAATTGGACTATTAAACTTGAAAGTGCATGCATCAAGATAATATATAGCATATATAATATACCATAATTTATAATGACATATAATATATAGATAATAATAATATCATATAAATTTTCACGCAACTCAATTAGTCTAAACTCCTTATATAATACACCCAGCTCATGTAATTCTCTTCTCAGTTCATTCAAAACAATTCGCGTGAAAAATGAGTCGACCCTGAATTTTGAATATGGCTAAAGAGCCTTATAAATAAAGCTCTTATCAGACTTGTCAGCTGTTTTATTTTCTTTTCCAGTTTTCGGCCAATAAACTAGCTTGGCGCTGAGCGGATGGGTGGTTCGCGTGGTTTGCGTGGTTCGCGTGGCTTGCAGAAGCGAACCAAACTGTTGAAAGTAAATAAATTTATTAAATTAGGCTAACATTGACCCAATTTCAGTGCGGCTTTAATCAAATTAGACAAAATGCTGAGCTGGGCCCGGTGTTGTCATAGCTTTTACTATTATTCTATTATGTGGCTGAGTTTTCTTTTATGTCGCAACAGGCAAATTGCCTCTGGCACTTTCATGCTCGAGTTTTTTGTTGCGCCCACAGGCCTTGCCCAACATATAATCGAAGGTGTGGAAAAACAAATTCGCAACAGGAAGCGCACACACAAAAAAGCTGCCGAAACGTGAATAAATAATTTGTATACATACTATATATATTTGTTTGTATGTGCACCACCCACCCATGCCATTGACTGCATTGCTGGCTGATTGTGGCGCAACTAATTGCTGTTTACCACTGCCGCTGCCGCTGCGGCTGCCTCTGCCGCTGCCACATTTTGTTATTGCAATTAATAAACAACTAAATTTTTAAGTATTTCTATTTCTCGCTCACCAATTGCGGTCATTAAACCTATTTCCATGGCAAGTTAGATAAATTGTCGCCTCGCCGCAGCTGCGTGCCACAACAGTGACAAAGCGCAACGCGTGCGCAACTCCAGCTAACATGGTCTACTCGCAGCTGCCGCTACGCTGCGTATACGTCATCTCCTGCAGCCTTTTCGTACTGGCTGCAGGCAAAGTGCCCACAGCTGCGCATACGAATAGCTGGCGCGATCTGTTCTTCGGCAACAAGTGGCTGACGCCCGCGCCCTCGTCCTCGCGCCTCAGAGAATCCAAATGTGGGTGTGCCAAAATTGTGCATTTTTCTTTAACCAAGTTGATCTAAAACAAACAACAAACAAATCCAAAAACAACTTTCAGTTTTACCCATATTCACACTAATGCCGTATGGCACGAGCAGCTGCGCGGCGCCGTCCGGTGAGCTGGGCAACTGCATGGCCAACAAGGATTGCCTACTGCGCAACGGCATACCAGCAGGACCTTGCGGCGGTGGCTACGGCGTCTGCTGCGTATGTAAGTGCTATACCCGCTCTGCCTATATAAGCATAACTACCAGAGGTCGGCAAGTCGAGATCAATCAATCAATAAAGCCCTCTTAAAATAACAGCTTTAATAACACTTAATGAAGGAGAGAATATGAGAAAACTGTGTAACATTACTGTTGTGTGTTGAGTGAATAGCTAGAATGAAGGTGAACTAAGATTATTATTAGGGTGGTCGAAAATTTTTAAAATATCGTATCGATGATATTGTAAGTTTTGAAAAAATTTTAGTATGATGTTTGATATGCAACCTTAAAAATATCGATATATTTTTATATTTCGATATATTTTCGCCACCCCTTATTATTATAATAGTTTTTTAGAGAGCATTTCTCTACATCCAGATGCATCTGCTGCATCAAGTGTTAAAGGATGCCCAGACATCTATCGGCTTTTGGCTTGTGAGTTATAGCTCTTAAGAGAGTTCATTGCATTACCATACTAGGATAATATAAGTTTCGATCGATTGAGCGCCATATGCTGAAATAAATATCTTCCCTCTGATGCGATCGTTCAATTAAGCTAAAGCGCTATTAAAGCTAGAAAAAAGCCAAAAGCTTGTGAATGATTCAAGACAGCTATAAATACCGCTTGCAGCTCAGGACTAGAACTGACTTGAAACTAATCAATTTTCCAACACTGACACCAACTCCTTTCTCCCATGCAGTCCTGCAGACCTGCGGTGGTATTATACGTGAGAACTCCACCTACTTTGTGAATCCGAATCATCCGGATGTCTATGACGGCACCGGCAGCTGTCAGGTGACCGTGCAGAAGATGCATCCGGATATATGCCAGCTGCGCCTGGACCTGGACATGTTCTCCATAGCGCCGCCGGAGCCGGCCAATCATCTGTGCAATCAGGATCAGCTGCTAATATCGGGCGGCAGTCCCACGCCCACCATATGCGGCAGCTCCACAGGGGATCACAGTGAGTGGTATTGAGGAGAGAGCTCTGGCTCGAGTCGCTTATCGAACGATCTTTTCTCGCAGTGTACATTGACGCTGGCCTGGGGCAGAGCAATCCCATTGTGCTGTCCGTGATAACCAGCGCCAGTTTTCCGCGTCTGTGGCGCGTGCGCGTCACCCAGATCCACTGCGGCAGCATCAGCCGGGCGGATCAGGGCTGCCTGCAGTACTTCACAGCCATCAGTGGGCGTGTGCGCAGCTTCAACTACAACACGGTGGCCGGGCGACAGCTCTCCAATCAGGACTACAGCATCTGCATACGCAACGAGCGCAATTTCTGCGGCATTCAGTACAACGCGTGCCCCGATCTGGAGAACAATCGCTCGCGTGCTTTCACCATAAGCGGCAACTCGAACAATCCGGTGCCCACTCTGGTGGGCGGTGGTGGTGGTGCGAACGGCGGCTCGCCCACCAGTGGCTGCACCAGCGATTGGCTGCTCATCGGCTGCATACGCTCCGCGGATCGCATACCCCCGCTGCCAGGCTGCGAGGATCGCGTGTGCGGCGGCACCTTCAGCGCCGAGGCGGGCATGTTGGCCAAGACGGTGCAATGTGGGTAACCAAATGGACTCGAGCTGAACAGCTTCATTAATTCTTGTTTCTTCTTGCAGCCAGCGTGCGTCCCTTTCGCCTGTATTTCCACACGGATGGCGTCGAGGCGCCCAATGACATCGACAATCGCGGCTTCTGCCTCGACTACGTGCAGCAGCCCTGCACGAATGGCTTCTGAATGAGATTTGCACTTCGACTCGAGTTGTTTTATTTTTTAATAAATATTCAGTGTGTATTTTATTTATTCTTGTAGTTAAGTCTAAGGCTAAGGCTAAAATTAAAGTTTAAGTTAATTTCGTAAGCTCGCAGATCGGTACAAATTAAAATCTTGGGTTAACTAAAGTTGAATTTGCAATTCTAAAATATATATTATTTATATATATTC